ACCGGGGCCGTAGCCCTTCTGACCGGACTCCGGCCCACCCGAGCACGCGCCGTCGGGTTCTCCAACGACAACGCCGCCCTATGCTTGACGATTCTCACCCTAGAGAGATTGCTCGGCTTGTCAGAGTCGAGAGACAGTCGGGGAAGATCGTCGTGCTCGGGCCCCGATGAGGAGGATGAGAGAGATAGCCGGGCGGATATCGATACTGACTCGTTATCCGAGTCCTTCAACAGCGGCAGGCTCAGAGACGAATCAGATGATGCGTTGAGTGAGGATTTTGAACTCCGGTGGAGCAGGTACTTTAATCCTCTGGCAGCAGTTCTGTTCTGGCCGTGGGAGGATAGGGACATGGACGACGCCGTTCTGTGATCGGCCTCCTTGGCGCTGCTGTTCTGGTACAGCTTCTTCAGGCCGAGAATCTCCTTCCAGCGGCTCGAGCATCTCGGCGCCTTGGGGGAGAACAGGTACGGATCCACGGGGGACGCCTCGCTTCCATGTCGAGATTTGGGCGTATCCGGTGATCTGACTCCGGAAGAGGCCGGAGCCGGCGCAGCAGCGTTCCGGATCGCGGAGAGCTGCAGAGGCACGAGTTTCCCGTTGGTGAAAAGCTCGTCGGCGGGGAGCATAGCCACCGGATCTTCGAGCCGGAACTCAAAATCCACCAGATCAATTTCGGAAGTCTCTAGATCTGGTACCTCCGGCTTCTCCCCGCCCGCTTTGCCCGCGGTTGTTTGACTCTTCGTGCAGAGCGTGCTCGCGGAGCCTCTGGAAGCCTCCTCGTCGGAAAGCTCGAGACCGAACGATATCCTGGGGCTCAGCCAGCCGTACGACGGGAACTTCGCCGGAGGACAGTCGATGAAATTATCCGGCGACATTCCGATGTTGTTTACACATGCCGACGCCATCTCCAACTTTCATGCAACTCCTTGTACACCGGAAATCAACCACACAGAAGAAGGAACGCTACAAACACTAGATCGAGAAAGAACATTCACAATATAGAGAGAAGATAACACAGTGCCATTTATGGCTTCACCAAGCTACGTTGAGAAAGAGAAAAAAAATGCTCCGGTGGATTTTGGTTAGCTAACCTTTGGGTGTTTGTTGTGGAAAAGGGTGTGCTCCGGTGTGGGGCGCCAGTGAGTCGTGTAGTGTGCCTATAAATAGAAACAATTGTACGAGTGGGGTCATTGTACATATCCAATAGGGATTTAACACGTGCACGTTTTGGTCAAAGCTAGGGTGACAGGTAGCGGGGATATCGACTTTTTTGGGGTGGTTCATCCAACTATCTCGTTTTTAACGTAAGGGGTAGAATGGTGATAAGGAAAGAATCTGGGGGTGAATATGAGAATATGCCACCTTCACGCTACCACACACAAGAATAGATTTCTTCTATTATTAAATAAGATTATCAAGTAAAAACTACCATCCCGTCACTGAATAATTTAACGTAAGGGGTATAATGGGCCGGGCCGGGCCGGGCCAAAACCCGGCACCTGGCCATGTCTAGCCTGTAGCCATTGATTATCTATAATAATTAACTTTTATATTCAAAGACTAAAAATTTTCACGAAATAATTCCGTGACGGGATGATAGGTTTAATTGATGTGAAAGTCTATAGCATATCAAATAAATAAAGTCTATTTTTACTTTGACTGTCATGTCATACTCACATGGCTTAGTGTCTTTCTACTTGTGTGAATAAATCCAAAATTAATGGCTTGCTTGTTTATAAATATATTGGTATTTAATATTTTTTTATGGTAGTAAGGTTAATTTTGAAAAATTTAGTAAGATTAGTTGTAGTGATATTTTAAGTTTATGTTGAAATAAAATGATTAAAATTGATTTGATGTACAAGTATGAGATAAATGATTGAACGTGATAAGTAGTTAAAATTATGTAAGTGGATGAATAATAAAACTGATGTGATGGGTAAGAACGATTGATTGACAGTATTTAACTATATTTGATAATATTGACAATAGTAGAATTAAATTAAAGTTAGATTACATTTTGATTTGAAATTGATATTTTTTTTTTAGTAAATTTGTAAACAAACAAGCTCTAAGCGCTAAGGCATCATTGAATTGGTAGGAACATTTCAAAAATTTGGTATCCAAGTTGAATGATAAAGTTGTTTTTGACTCTGGCTTTTATGTTTTATGTGAGAATGTTCATATCTTGTTGAACTCGTTTGTATCTGTTTTTTTTTTTCTGGGTGCTGGTTATGTAAGAGTATCTACAATGCTTTGGGTCTATTGTGCATATGTGGCAAGTAAATAGACTTGAGTCTTGGATGACGTGGACAAAAATATAAAAAAGTAACAAATTTAACTCAAATGCAAAGAGACAAGGTCTCTACTTGGATCTAAAATAGACTTAAGAGTAGATCGGGTCTCTTTTCTTATTGCCACATAAGCAGGACCCAATCCACTTACACTTGTATTGGAGTACATATTTTTTTGACTAGATCTATTTTTTATGTGGCATGTATATTTTTGTGAATGAACTCAAAGCATTGTGGATGCTCTAAGGTGTTTATATGTGTTGGGTATTTTCTTTTGTTTGGTTTTGGTTGGATTGTTATGGCTGATGTGGCCTTTTAGAGGGCTCTTTTGAGTCTGCCCGGTATAATGTATGCGTAATCTATGACTCGTTGGGGCTTGTGTGTGACCCGTTGATTTCCTGTATTCTACTTCTTAGTTTTAAACTAACGAATTTGATGTTTGGGAAGAAAAAAAAAAATTGGGAAATTTTTAGTCCTCCTATAAGATATACAAATATTTTCAAATTTACCTTCATATGAAAGTATTTTTTAATTATACCTAATGAAGCTAATTTATTTATGAGATTGCATCAATAGCAGTTACATATATATTCAATAGCAGTTACAATTGTAGTTACATTTTTGTGGACTTGATTAAGAGAGAGAAAAGAAAAATAATAACTGATACATTTATTAATTCTTTAATTCACGCAATTTGTACATTGCAATTCAAGCAGCCGCGAGGTAGTATATTTTGAGTTTATGTTAATATATATTCAGTGTATGTTGCAATATTATAATTCACGCAGCCGCCAAGTGGTATATTTTGAGTTTATGTTAGTACATATTCAGTATATGTGCAATAAAAAACAAGTCTTCCACAAAAAAATTATATATATATATATATATATATATATATATTTTACTTTTATACATAAAAGTATATAGAAACATATTATAACATTTATTTATATTCCATATACAAACAAATCTTCTAATATGTTGAACATATACTCCATATACACACAACATATACTGAACAATAAAAAATTATGTCCTTTTTTTAATAGAAATATACGCGAAAATATACCGAAAAAAACGAGGACGTGAAATTTTATACCGAAAAAATTATGTCTTCTAATATACCGAAATCTGGGGGGAGGGGGGGGGAATTATGACCCGACATACACCAAAATATACTTCAAATATACTAAAAATGTGTAACAGGTGCAGAAAGTCAGTGACAAAGTGTATAGCATAGAAAGAGAAAAGATACTTCGGATAGAGAGAAAAGTTACCTCGGATATACCCATCAGATAACCAGAGAAAAGTTACTTCGGATATACTCGAATATACCCAACATATAACCCAAGAAAAAAGGGATTATTAAATAGATAACCAGAGAAAAGTTACATCGATTATACTCGGATATACCCAACTCGGTTTTGTAAATATACCTTCGAATTATATACATTTTCAACGCATATGTGCAAAGGTTACAAATTCTTAAACACCCACAAAAGCTCAAAGCTGTTATTATTAAAAGCAAAATCAAATCATACAAGAAATATACAAGAAAAAAAAGCCCTTATATTATACTGAACATATATTCTATACATACACAACATATACCCGATTAATTTATGGCCCCCACCCACAGTCTCCAATTTCTGGTTTTTTCTTCCATCGTCTCGAACTCTTCTACTTACTCCAAAAAGGTCCACCGATTGAAAAAAACTGAAATGAAAAGCCCCAATCTCCAGGCTCCAAGTGGTTGGTAATTGAACAGAAAGCAAAATAGAGAAATTGAAAGTTGAACGGAAAACAAAAAGGCCCAATCTCATAATTCATCCAACTCATTCCCTTCCGGAAACAAAAGGATCCACATCAGTCTTATCTGAATCAGATTTATGGTCCCCATAAATCCATATATGAACCACATCAAACAAAGACTTGGATCTGGATCGGGCCTGATGCTACTCAACTGCCGGCGATGCTCGATTCGCCGCAAGGGTCTAGTCCTCGGAAACCCGCTCCCGTCATGGCTGCCTGTTCTTCGCCGTGGAGTCCTTCTCGGCAGCTTCAATCGCGCTTGGTGGCTCGAAAAAATGAGAAGGGTTTGGAGAAGACCTCTCCCGGTGATTGCTGCCGAGGAGATTTGATAAAAATTTGGGAGTATTGGAGGAGTTGGAGGAAAACATGAATTATGCAAAATGAAAGATACGCAGGGCGGTAGGGAGTTTTTTTGTTGCACTTTTTGGTTGCTATTTTTTAGGTAAGTGTATATTTAATTCCCTTAAATATCTCAATTACATTTAAAAAGATTATTAAACGGTTAATGAGATGATTAGGTATAATTGAAAATATTTTAGGTTGTTTAAGTAATTTTAAAAAACAAAATATAAGATGTTCAAAACTGTTATATATTTTACAAAATGAACAAAATAGAATATCTGACAAACGCGTTATTGTTGCTGTGATAAAAAAAGCAGTACCAAAGATGTCCTGTTGAGAACAGTTCGAAATCGGCCCAAGACGTGCAATTTCCTCAAAAAAATTTGTGTGTGGGTGATTGGAGTCCAAGCCCAACTATTGATAAAATGGGTTTGTGAATAATTGCGATTTGTCAAGCCCAAGACGTTGAAGGGACAAAAAATGAGAGAGCTTCTACTTTTAGATTCACAAGTTAAACCCTAAACCTCATTACATCAGTGAAGAACGTGAAAGATGTTTACAGGCGGAAAGAGCTTCGTCTCTTCACCGCCGGCGTTCTCTAACGACGCCAAGCGGCTCCTCTTGTGCACCGGAAACAAAGTATCCATTTTCAGCACCTCCACTGGCCTGCAGGTTTTATCTTCTTTCTGTTGACTGCCTACTTTCACCAATTATGAAATGGATCAGAGTAACCTTTTATGAACTAATTAATCTCGTTTGCAGACGAGTGAATTAGATGGCCACGAGGCGCAGGTGACATCGGTAATAGTAGTCCCGGCTACTTCACCGGCGAGTAAACTTTTGTGCTACTGTTGGACGTCTTCCCTTGATGGGAAGATCAAGTACTGGGATTTTGCTGCCCCTGAATTGATGAGGACTATCGATATTCGATTACCCATTCACTCTATGGTTGGTATCCATTTCATTATTGTCACTATAGCTTATGCTTGAATTGGGTTTTTCGTACTTCTGATGCAACTTTGCCTGTATTTCTACTCTTTCATGGAAAATTATGATAGAAATATTAAAGATCATTTACTTAGTACCCGGAGTTTCAGACGATTTTCTCTTGGGGACAGTTGCACGAATGGTTTTCATCCTACTGGCAGCATATTCTCATATTTGGGTGCAGATTTTAGTTATCCATATCATACTTCTTTTCAATTATTTGTGTCAACACAACTCCAATTAGTTTCTAAGATCATCTTGATTAGATATGAGCCTTTAATATGCTTATCGGCGTTATATGCCTATGCATTTTGAAGGTTATCATAATTCAATATCTTGTTTAATTTTCACTAGTTATTTTGTATTTCAGGTGATTCCAAGTTTATTAAGCCACACAGCTGAAAGAGATAAGAAGGTTCCTGATCTTTACGCCTATATTTACACTGAAGATGTGAAACAGAAGGAAGAGCAATCCAAATCTTTATGTGGACAAATTCGGAAATGTAATCTAACAAAGTCTCGCTTAATTGGTGGAGTTACCTTGGCTGAGGTGCTTAATTGGTTTGATGTTCTCTATACATTGAAATATCCTATAAGAATGGTTTATGAAGTAATTTTGAATTGGGCTGGGATATTAGGAAGAAATTAATTGTAAATATGTTACTTTTTTTAAAATTCATTATTCCATTAGTTCTTGTGTGCTGGTAGCAATATTTTTCATATTTAGACCCGTCTTCATGAAGTCAAGCACAAATCTTTAAGCTAATAGTATTAAAACAGTTGTAATATTCTATTGGTTTATGCACCTGGTACCTTGAATATCATCATGCAACTGCAAGAAGAGTACCATTTATGCATATGCAGCTACGTCAGAACTATTGTGATCCTTATTTTTTTTGTGGGATATAACGATAAGAGATAAGAGAAGTTATGTTCTGTGACGAATTGGAGTCATAATCACAGTAGAGTCGGTAAAAATTTGCTTTCGAAATTGTAATTCAATATGCCCATGAGTGCTTAATTCCTGCATGTCATTTTGTTTTACAGACTAGGAGTCCTGGCGCATTAACCATTAGCCCCACTGGAAAATACATCGGCATACATGAAAAACGCAAGCTTCGAATATGGGAGATCCCAGCCAAAGATTCTGACAGTGTTGGTTACAAGAAAGTAAGGTTACATCATACAAAAGTAATTACGGCTCTAGCTTTCCATCCTACTGAGAGGGTGGTAGCAGCAGGTGACGTAACAGGGAGGATCTTAATATGGAGAGGTGTCGGGCGTGGAACTTTTGGTAGTGATGATAAATCAGTCAATGGAAAGTCAAACAAAAATGCTGAAGACAGGCCTGGAGTGAGGGATGACGATGATGCGGATTCTTGTACCACTTGGCATTGGCATTCTGCACAAGTGAATGTTCTCTTCTTCTCTTCAGATGGTGCATATTTGTACTCAGGTATTTCAAGCGACTGTTAGGGCCTTTTTTCAAGTAAAAAGGTAGTCTAATCTGCTATTTAGATGAATAGTTTAGCACTTTGTTTGCACATGTTTTCCTTTTGGGCTTGTGTCTTCACTATATTCAACAAAACAGATGAAGAAGAAGAAACCTTCCCCTGTTTAGCATGTACTTATAAGACTTTTAATCCTTCAGGTGGGAAAGAGGGAGTACTGGTTGTTTGGCAGTTAGATACTGGAAAAAGGAAGTTTCTTCCGCGCATTGGATCTCCTCTTCTATATTTCGTCAGTTCTCCAGATCCCTCAATGTCCACAGTAAGAATATATTAATAATGACATTGTTCTTTTTCCCCCAGTCCAACTGGTTCAATTAGATGAGCTCTTAACAGAGAAATTCTTCAGATATCCTGTGCAGATAACCGAATTCTGTTTCTTAGAATGCCAACAATGGAGATATTGAGGTCCATTTCAGGGATTAAGGTTTGTTACAGAAAGCCACTCACCTCAATAATAGATAAGAAAGGACATCACAGATAAACATATGCAGTCATTTGAATATTTGTGAAATACATGAATTAAACTGGAGCAGGCACAAGTTGTGCTCCTCATGTACGTTCACGTCGAGCTCATTCTGTAATATTATCACAATTTCGGTGTAAGTTAGCAGCGTCAGTGTGATGCAAAAATTATTTTTCTGTACTTTCAGCTTCGAAGTTCACAAATGGAGATGTATGATGGTTTTGGCTCGAATATCGTCTTCAATAACACTTGTGGGTTGATTGCAGTACCCACGGAGAACTACCGTGTTCAGTTTTATGATTTGCTTAGTGACCGTGCAATTTCAGAGGTGAGTTTTATTGTGGCTTTGGTAATTGGCTGCTGATGCTATTGGGTTCAGCTTTTCTGCTCGTATTTATTCTTCTTATTTGGATACCTTTAAGTCCTTAAATTGCAACATGTGTTAAATTTTAAATCACAGTATGGATCTAGGTGCGTGAATGCATTCCTCTTACCTATTCAATTCTTTTTTCCTTATTGGTTTGGGAGCCATTCTGAAATTTATGAATTTTTTCTTTTGGAGAGAGTTGGGGCGGTCAAGATATAAGTTGTTTGAGGTTGTTCTATAGATTTTGATCCATAAGTCATAACAAAAACCTTCGTTTGTATGCTTCTCTCTCTCTCTCTCTATATATATATATATATATATATATATATATATATTACTTTGGTTGAAAGCACTTGGGTTTCTGTTTACATGATATATCTTAGCATGAGTAGATATAGCTGGAGGTTGTCATTCATCCCTTGTACACGATGCATTTCTTTATAAGGCGGTTACTTGAATTTGTCTATTTGCAGGTTCAAATCTATGAGAGAAATTATCAGCCAGGTGATGAAATCACGGTACATACGCTTTTTCTTGAGTAATTTTGTGGATGCATTTGATTCAGTAATGAAACATATTTCATGATATGTAATTATGCAGTCTATTGACAGCAATTCTTTTCTGGAATATTGATTTTGAGAAATGTTTTCGGAGTGTAGAAAATCGTTTATGTGAAACCTCAACTCATTTCTGGTTCCAGACTTCCAGGAAATGAGAAAGGTTCTTTGAAAACGAACAAATTGTAGTGTGGATCTCTCTTTTTCTTTTAAAAATCTTTCTTAATGTACTTTTGTTTTCTCCTAGTTGGAAATTTTGGACATTTGTCGTTTATTGGGGACTGAAATTTGGTAGATCCAAAGTTCATTATGGTTATTGTTATTTATGTATCGTTATTTAGTATTTATCTATTATGGGCCCATCTCTTTTGAATCTAAAATCTGATGTCTGTTTAGCTCATTCTCTTTATTTATCTATAGTTTGTGTGTATATAGATATGGTCATGAGCTGTTTCAAACCAGGAGTGTAAATTGTTTGAACTCTTATTTTGCTCATGGTCAACATCCAACTTTGAAATTAACATTTATTTTTTACTTTGCAAACAACAGTTTCAGGCACTGTACGTTTTCTTTCTGCTAATTCAGTCCTAATGGAATCAATCTGATATCCTTACGTGTACGTGGCAGGTAAAAGTGAACTTGGTAGCTCTTTCACCTGATGGTTCTACCATGAGCACTGTTGAAACTAGATTCCCTGAAGATGGAATTGGCAGCCTTGTGAGTCTAAAATTTTGGGCATGTGGCTCCCGGAACAAACAAATCAGATTGTCTACTGTGATATATGAACCCCACAGGTTTCTACTTAATTTCTTCATACTTTGTGTTGCAGATTTGCAGAAATAGATGCATTGGTGCTTTTGGCATTTTCCTGCAAGATATGCCACTTGTACTGATGATTATTACGGTAAAGACAAGAGGTTTGCATACTCAAAAATTCCTAATGAGTTTCATGCTGTTTGCTATTAACATAACAGGGATGCTGGAATCTCATCCATTGCCTTCCGTCCAACTAGTCACATGGCTGTTAGTACCTCTTATGGCGGCGATTTCAAGGTAAGTTATCCAATTTGACTGATGTTGTCTTGTAGATGGCTCTTAGTTAAACGTATATTAACTGGCAGGTATGGATTTGTAAACATGAGATACCTCCGAAGGATGAGGCACTTCAGAGTACTGGCTGGACATGTCAGGCTCTTGGATCATACAAGTATAGTTCCTTGGCTTTATAGCTTATAGTATATATCTGAAGTGTGACAGAGATGCGAGACAAAAAAGAACAGTGCTCAGTTTATTTTCACTCTTTTGCAGTGATTATACTCTACTAGTTTTTTTTTTTTTTTTGGGTCATCAATAGCATTCGATGCATTAAAAGCATTTATCAAAACAAGCATATCCACTGTACTTGTGATCACATGTATTAACAAAGATCCTATTTGACAGGAAGAAGCCCATGACTAGTGCTGCATTTTCTTGTGATGGGTCCGTTTTGGCTGTTTCTGCACAAGAGGTTATCACATTGTGGGACCCTGACAGGAATGCTCTTCTGGCTGTAATTGGAGATAGTCCAGAGGTGATTTTTCACGATCTTCTACTACTTCTTGTTATTAGCCCTCATTGTCAGGCAATAGGTCTTTCTTTTTTCTGGTGTGTGTGTGTGTTTTTTGCCTTCCCATTGACATCAAAGAATTATAATTGTTGAATTTTGTATTCTGACAGCCAATTATAAACCTTTCCTTTGTTGGAAAGTCGGAGTACCTTGTGTCTGTGTCACGAGGTTCAAACCCGAGGTTGAATATGTGGAGTATGTCGAAGTTGTGTACAACTTGGTCCTACAGGCTTGATACTGAAGGTGCGTGTGCTGTTTTCCTTTAAGGGAATATCACGTGATTAGGATAATTATTCATGTTGACTTGTTTTTTCATTGCCAGATAGGAACTGGCTATTAGGTGGATGTGTACACACTGGGTTTATGCAGTGGGTTGTATAAATCGATGATCTGTGTGTTTATGTGTTTATTATTTTTCACTCATTGGTATCATAATAAGTAAAGAATTTGCAGTTGAATAAAAATTTGGTGCACTAGTAATTGCCATCAATTTCTTTATAGGTGTACATGTAATGCTACGTTTGTTTAACTTTGTGGATAGGGTCTCACACTACATTTCCATGTGTTTCCTTGGGTTAAGATTTCCTTGTTAGATTAATAATTTATGTTATCATGTGCAGCTATTGCTTGTTCAATGGATAATTCCACCTTTGCTGTTCTTGTTCTCTTGAGTTTGTCAAGGCACATGGCATCTGCTGAAATCAAATCAACGGGGGAAGATGGCATGATCTTGCTGTTCAATGCAGAAAACCCAGTGCCTTTGTTGACGTGGTTTGTGAGCAAGGTTATCCTCTCCTCCCAACTTACTTCAACCTTGCATTCAAACTAGGTCTTTCTTGCTCATGTTTACAGTTTTGAGTTTTATTTGTGTAGTCATTATGTGATGTCTTGGCCTAGTGCTTGTGTTTACATTGTGAGAGTTGCTAGCAGTTGAGCCATTGAACACGATGGAAATGTTAAGATAAATTTGCTTATAGCTGAAGATTCTGCTGCCACTTGGCTTATAAATAAGATTGACAAGGATCATAGATATGTTATGTTTAGATGCTGGACTCTAGTAAGAAACCATATACAAGTAGAGCACTGTAGCCATTTGGCTATCATTAGAAGGAAAATGCAGTGCAATGAAGGAGCACAGAGTTGTGTTTTAAAATTTAAAGGATAAAAGGCGTCGGATTTTATTTGCAAGTCGTCTGTTTTTCCTCGTGTTCAAAATATTACCATATTGCAGGCCCGGTGTGGAAGACTTGGTTTTGTCCAGTTGAGTAGCCAATTGGATGATAAGGTTGCTAAAACAGAAGCAGCAAACGAAGTACTTGCTTATGTTAATGGTGCTAATGAGTATGTTCTCTTGAACCCAAATGGTGACCTGACGAGCCAGCTCAGCATTTCTTGTCAGCAGAATTTCAGTAGCCTTGAGGAAACGGGTAAGTGTTTCTCTTGGTTCAGCAATGCTATTATAAGCAGCCTTCAATATCCTTTTGAAAGTAAGCATGTAACTCTATCGCTAAAATTACGTCATTCAATTTTTAAAATTTTACTTATTGGCGTTTTCATTTGGTGGGATTATGAACATTTTTTATGCCTAATTCTGCAATGAAATAATTTGGCATTTATGTGACCTTAATACACATCAAACCCTGATGTATTCTAGTTTTGTTAATGGTGGAAATACCTAATTTATCAACTTCCATTCTCCCCCTTGAGCAGAAACATTTGGATATGCATCAATATACGGTGAACTACCAGAATTCAGCTTGAAAACAAATGAAACTCCATTCCCATCTGTGCCATCTGATGGAACCTGGAAGACAATATTCAGCGGACCATCTCACAGTCTTCCTTCTCTCCCCAAGTTGTGTTTGGATTTTCTTGAATCATTGCTCGAGAGGAGGTCCGCTATTGCCTGATGTGCCGTTCAAAGTTTGAACTTGAGAGGCCTGCTTTTGGATGGTAAGAAAAGCATATTGCGAGTTAATCAAACTAGCAGAATTTGTTACAGTCAAAATGGAATAGAGTTTGCAGGTTCAGGTTTAATTGGGGGGAAGGTGGGTCTCTAGGTACAGATAGTGCTTGTGTAACGGTATTCTGATTGATTATCGATTCGTTTTGGCCAGGTAGATCATTTTTTTTTTTTTTTTTTTTTTTTTTTTTTTTTTTTGCAGCGTTTGTTGTGTGACCAAAATTAGTGTATGATGAATGAGATGATTGCTTGTGGTTCCCATACTGAGTTACTGAGGGCTACGGAGAGAACCTTGCCCTTCAAAATTTCGAGTGGCAAATGGCCATGTAGATCAAGCTATACTTTTGTGTTTGCCAGTTCTCTCCCTTCAAAATTTCGAGTGGCAAATGGCCATGTAGATCAAGCTATACTTTTGTGTTTGCCATAATGTACGAATTACTTCAATTTAGAGTTGTAACGCTTTCATTTAGATATTCAAACTTGGACCTGTTCGTTATTCAAACTTTGGAGGGCCTATGTTATTTAGGCATCAAGTTCGGCTTGAGTGAGTTTAAACTTGAAATCAAGACATGGCCAAGGGTCGACCGGTCCTTTTTGAACAGAACCTTTAAGGTTTGGTTCTGGTCTTCATTTTTCTTTTTTGACTGGCCGGTTCTGGGTCGAAAGACGGATCATAGTTGATTTTTCAATAAAAAAACGTTGGTTTAATGAACTGTTGGGCCGGGCTGGGTCGATTCATATAGCTGGGCTAGTTTCAGGCCGGTTCATTAGCTGGGCCACTTCCGGGCCCAGTATTTAAAGCCCGCTGATCTGGCTGACCGGGCCGGGTCGTGAACCGACCAGGCTGGCGGATCGACCTGGTTTTTAGACACGTCTAATTGCTAGGCAATTTGGCGGTAGTATTTTAAGCATGTATGCGGATTTCTCCTTGTATAGGATAGATGAGGTATGCCAGTCAAATCCACATGGAATTATATTTTATTTCTTGTTAGTATAGGATGATAGATTTTACGATAGAACTTTACTATTTTTTTAAAAAAAAAAATACATACATAGTGAGTATTTAAAAGTCAATTTTTTTATAAAGTCAAATATTTTTTTTCTTATTATTCGCCCTACTATATTAATAAAGCTTCCACGACTTTGAATGTTACTAAAATAATTAATGTTTGCATGTTACTAAAATTACTATTTTAATAATACATAGCTATTTTTATCCAACCACTGAAATAAAAAAGGGAAATAAAAAAGGGTTAATTGCATAGAAAACCACAACCTTTTGTTTAGTTGTAAATAAAACTTAATTTTTTTAACTTTGTAAAAAATATCAAACTTTTATTAAGTGTTGCAATTTTGTCCTGAAAGCAGATTCCGACAAATGCACGCGGACATGACTGATCAAAAAACTGACGTGGCAATTAATATTTTATACTCATTGACACATCATTTTACATGTAAGACTCCATGTCACGTTGAATGCTACGTCAATATTACCATTATTTTATCATTGAGTATAAAATATTAATTGTCCCCAAAATTCTAGTGTCACGTCAATTTTCCGATCGACCATGTCAGCGTGTATTGGCCGGAAACTGCTTTCGAGACAAAATTGCAACACTTAATAAAGGGTTAGTATTATTTTGCAAAGTTGAAAAAATAGATTGTAATTAAA